GGCCAATCACAACGCACTGGATAGCTGGCCAGTCACAGCACACCTCGCTTTTTCAGACCGATAAGCTTTGTAAAAATCGAGGCGTTTCAAAAAGGCGGGGCATAGAGGAGAAACAATAATGTACAGTATGTGGAAAATAATGTTTTTTAAACTTTAAACCACATAAACACATTTCATTACACCAAATACACAAAATAATGTTCTTTTTAGCAGCATCATATGACCCCTTTAAAACCATTGGAGACCACAGACATGAAGACAATTTCAACTGATTTTTAGCCTTATAATCCTCTGAACGTGCACACTAGATGATTCGACCAGACCGCGAGACCACACACTAGTTGATTGTAGGAACGAATTCACAGTGACATGCGATCTCACGGTGACTCATGAGATCAAACGTGACCAATGTGAAAAACACATGGAGGACAATTGACATTGTCAGCTGGCTCTCCAGGTGCACATTCTGTTGTACAATAAAAAAACAGTCTCGATCAGGAGCAGTTAAATAATCGTAATGACACCACACAATAGTGGATTTTTTGGACAAAAAATTAAAGGAAGCACAGAAACCATCAACACAGGGAAAAACAAATTAAAACTAAACATAATCCTGACAATATTTCATCACCCTTGTAAAAAGAAGTGCACTTAACTGTATTGAAAGATCACTTGTAGTGTTTCCCAGATCTTAAAAGTATATTACATAAAATAAATAAATAAATAAATAAAACTGTACTTGCAGATAATATAATATTAACGAAAAAAGTCACTTAAGTGACTTTTTACAAGGGTTTTACATCACCCTTGTAAAAAGAATTGCACTTAACTGTATTGAAAGATCACTTGTAGTGTTTCCCAGATCTTAAAAGTATATTACATAAATAAATAAATAAATAAATAAATAAAACTGTACTTGCAGATAATATAATATTAACGAAAAAAGTCACTTAAGTGTGCTTAAAGTACACTTCCATGACTGCAGTCAACTGCAACTGCAGTGTGTTATTCAATATTTAATTTAAAGTTAATATATTTTAAATGTCTTAAACTGCAACTTCTTCATTATAAATGTGCAATTATAAATATATTTAAATACCAGGCATACAAGTTTCAAAAGTAATGACATTAGTATATTGTCTAGTATATTTTAGTTAACCATAAATGATTGTCAGTTCATTCAGCAGTGCACTTTAACCATATTTCAAAGACAACAGAAGTAATTAATAAATTGCATATGAAGATGTACTTAAGTCCTAATTAAGTGGATCGTAGAGCATGCATAAATTCAACTAATTGCATTTTATATAAATTTAAACTATAATACATTTCCATTTAGTTGTAAATCATGCAGTTAAAGGGTTAGTTCACCCAAAAATGAAAATTAGGCTGTGTTTTACTCACCCCCGAAGCATCCTAGGTGTATATGACTTTCTTCTTTCAGACGAATCCAGTCGGAGTTATATTAAAAATTGTCCTGGCTATTCCAAGCTCTATCATTGCAGTCAGCGGGTGTTGCAGTGCTTCAGTCCAAAATAAGTTAAATAAAAAGCGCCCATCCATAAAAAAAAGTGTCTCACACGGCTCCGGGGGGTGAACAAAGTCCTCCTGAAGCGAATCGATGCGTTTTTGTAGGAAAAATATCCATATTCAAAATGTAATAATCGCTTTAATCTAGCTTGCACCAACAGTTGTACATGGAAGCAGTTCCGGGCGGATGACGTATGAGGTCAGCGTTGCGCATGCACCAGTGAGTCTGGAGAAACTTGAAAAAAAAAACGTGTTCATACTTTTTACAAGAACAAACTCAAGTCTCTTTCAGTAAGAATTAAATAGGTTTTTATGTATGTATGTATGTATGTATGTATTTATTTAATCTTTTTCCACTTAAATTTCCATAGGCTTCATTGGATAAGGCCAATATAAAAATGCACTAAATAAATGACGTTCCCTTTCAGTCGGTCACTCTCGACGTCACGTCGGTGACCGACGAATTGGGATCTCGCTTAGAGAGACCAATCCACTTCGAGTGTAAACTAAACGAGCCAATTCACATTGGCATGCAATTATTGCATCCAGCTGCCGCTGATCACAGCGTGAGTATAATAAGACAGTGTCGGGGGTATGGACAGGCCCCCAACTGCACTGGCATATCAATTGCCTAGAGTTGTTAGCGGTGCACCTGGCCTTGAACCGTCTCAAAGGGCGCTTACGAGGCAAGCACGTGCTGGTCCGAACGGACAACATTACGACCGTTGCGTACATCAACCGACAAGTTGGTCTGCGCTCCCATCGCATGTCGCAACTCGCCCGCCACCTCCTCCTTTGGAGTCGGAAGGTTCTGAGGTCACTTCGTGCCATTCACATTCGGGGTCTGCTCAACCGTACGGCCGACGAGCTGTTACGAGCTACGCTCCCAGGAGAATGGAGACTCAATCCCCAGATGGTCCAGCTGATTTGAA